ATGCAGTCACCAATTAGAGTTTGGAATATTCAAGAGGCCACAAATGGAGGAGTCCAGATATTTTGGAGATTTGTGAGCTAGAGGAGGTTACTGGCACAGGAATATACATGACCTTGTGATTTAAAAACAAGAAATATGAGAAAAATCACTGTCCAGGCTGAGGTGTTTCACATTCTTAGGTATAAATGTTCCTCAGCACTTTTTGTTTGGTTACTTCATACCATTACACAAGAGAGTTCAAGGCACAAGGATAGACCGGATCGCTTCCTACCAGCTTCAAGCTATGACCTTTCAACATTCTGGCAATATGTGGGGACAGGAACCATTGCTTTGCAGACACAAATTGCGACAGATATTAGATTTTAATCTGGAGATGTTCAGATTGTGATCGCCTTACAATTAAAAGGTCATAGAATAGGCTCCAACATCTTGTCTTCTTGACATCTGACATTTGATCAGTTCTTCCAGAATGCCCACCAAATAGGGCTTAATACAACAAGGAAAGAAAAAGCCCCAAGTAGTCATGTTCTTCACAATCTGGAATAGCCATAATTTGTTCAAAGTCACTTCAAATTAAGTTCATGTTAAGAATGTTTCAGTTTTGCTATTTCATTGGCTTATTATGGGAATGTTGCTTGATATTGCTGCATATGGCAATTTAGGATCTGCACTTAATTGGACTTACTCAATTCTCATTTGGAACTTGACATTATTTCTTGAAAGTTAGTGTTTCATCTTCTGAATTTCCTCAGCTATTTTTGGTGAAGGAAACTTTATTTTGGGTTTCTGCAGTTAGAAAGCTTGCACCCTTGTTATTGAGTTGTAATACATTCGGCTTTCTGACTAAAGTCGATTCAGAGTTGTATCCTGAATCTATTTGTTTGTGAAGAGGTTGTTGCTTTTTTCTCTTGCCCAATATTACATCATTGAATCCCTACAGTCTGAAAGTAGTTCTTTCGGTCTATCGAGTCCATATCGACCCCATATCGATCCTCCGAAGACCATCCCTCCCAGACCCACTCCCAATCTTATCCCTGTAACCCTGCATTTTCCCATGTCTAATCCACCTAGCCTGCACATCCCTGCACACTAGCTGAAAGTGCATTGTCTTTTCCACTCTATATCTACATAGAACCCAAGTTTCTATTTCTTTTGTGCAAAGCAGTTTCAGAAATCGTGGTTTGTTTCTTGTCATGTAAAGATGCTAACCAGTTCTGTTACCAAGCAACAGAAACTTAATTGTAAGGTTGAGTGAATACCACCTCGCCGGGAGGAAGCCCAAAGGGGAGATGGCTAGTTATTCAATCCATTCCATGGCTGTTACGGAATTGTCTCAATACGTTCTGTAAAACAGTATATTGAGTGTTCCTCAAACACATACTAACCATTGCCGTTTTACTTCATCTGTTGGATATGATGTGGTAATCGTTCCTACCTCACAGATCGTACAACTTTGGTGGATCTTGCAACCTTCACACATCACGATCCCACAGATCCATCCTTTTTTTGAACTTAAGGAGTAGAGTTTCAAGGTTAGGGATCCGTAGTTAACTTCAAATTAAAGAATTGTCTTCCAGTTGTAGGTCCTGAACCTTCTCCAGAGTCCGACTAGGAGGGCACATGTTGGCCATCTACCTGCAACTCCATGGCAGTATTTTAATATATGTATATTAGGCATATTTACATGCATTGTTCACCAGACTCAGTTAACTTAATCTTTTATTCCTGCTGTGTTTGAGGGATGTTAGAGCTTTCAAACAACTGAGAGGATGTTACATGGTAAGAAATCCATTTTTAACTATTATCATCTTTTCTGCATTGACTGTGGTTCTAAACACGATTTCCAGCAGCTTCTCCAAAACCGTCTCTAGCATCTAGTAACGTGTAGTTCAAAATATGTTGCACATCAGATGATCTCCACTGGAAGCATTCTTTGTAGTTATTGAATTTCTTTTATAAATCTGCAGTTTCTGGCTCAGTTCTTATGAGGCGTTCACTCCTCTTCAATCTCTGTTCCATCTCTAGATAAATGATCTTCTTCACGTGCACCCATACAGATGGGTCTCTGTACCACAAGCCTTGTAGCAGCCTCTAGGGAGAAAGCTCCAAGTAGTCATGTTCTTCACAATCTGGAATAGCCACAATTTGTTCAAAGTCCCTTCAAATTAAGTTCATGTTAAGAATGGTTCAGTCTCATAATTTCATTGGGTTATTATAGGAATGTTGCTTGATATGCTGCATATAGAGATTTAGGAATTGCACTTAATTAGACTTACCCAATTCTTATTTGGAACTTGACATTATTTCTTGAAAGTTAGTGTTTCATCTTTTGAATTTCCTCAGCTTTTTTGGTGAGGGAAACTTTATTTTGGTTTCTGCAGTTAGAAAGCTTGTGCCCTTGTTTTTGAGTTGTAATACATTCAGCTTTCTGACTAAAGTCAATTCAGAGTTGTATCCTGAATCTCCAGAGAACAAGTAAATATTTTCTAGACTACCCTATCATCTACTAGCCTAATTGCCACTTCAACTATTTCTAATAGGTTTTTATTTGTAGCCTATTCGTTCTGAAAAATGTGTTGACTGCCCCTTATGATAGCTGTGCTCTCTAGATGGTCACTGGCAGCCTCTCCCTGTTATCTTTATGTAATTAGCCTCTGTAGGTGTTAGGCTAATACTACTTTGAACGTTGAGGTCATGTTATTGATTGCCCATTTCTTGATTAGCATTCTAATGTCAATGAATTGCTGAAAATGTCGATGTATCACTAATTCTCTCTTTTTTGAGTGTTCTAGGATCTAATTCATCTGTCTTGAGGCTCTGCAGATGTTTAGTTCTCCCAGCTTTTATATAACAGACCTATTTCAGATACTTTTCCAATTTCTATGTATGTCATAGATATTTTTCCCATATTTTATTTTACCTAAGATTTGTCTACAGTCCACAAGAGAATATTTGGTAAGAATCCTATTGTATCATCTATGACAGCTTTATATAATGAGTCCCTTAGTCTTTGATCCTTGTTAGGAACAGAGAATTTGATTGAAAAGTGCAGCATTGAAATCACTTGTGGTTTGTATCTGATCAAAGCTATTTTGCAGCTCAACTATGAATCGGCCATTTTCTCTCTGCTTTCTGTCTGCTACAGTCCCACCATCTCCATTCTTTGCTGGTCTATATCATTAGCAAAAATATTCAGTAATTTCATAGACAGCGACATCTGCAGGCGTAACGTTACTGCATCAATATTGTGTTATGATTACATTGTTATTTCTTCAAATCGGTTGTACAGATGTCTGTCTAAATAGCTGTCACTTCTAAATATTTATAGATCTTTCGTAACTAAGAAAGTAACATCATATCTTGGTCAATATAGAGGGTTTACTTTGGTGGTACCTTTAGCATGCCGATTAAAATATTGAGACCATGTTAAAATGAAAAAATCAAGAATGGATTCTTAAATCAAAGTCAGAAGTCACACGTCACCAAGTTGTAGTCCAACAGGTTTATTTGAAATTACAGGCTTCAGAGTGGTTCCTGTCTAGGTGAGGCAAAGGAGCAGCACTCCAAAAGCTTGTGATTTCAAATAAACCTGTTGGACTACAACTTGGTGACGTGTGACTTCTGACTTTGTTCTCCCAGTGCAACACCGGCACCTCCACATCATATTCTTAAATCAGTAAGCTAAAAAGTGTACACGTGAAAGATTAAATCTTCTTGCTGCACAGCCACTCTTTACCTCCTGTAAAGCAAGGGTCTCCTCAGTTGAGTTGAAGACTTGCTTCATGGAATAACACTTTATTTTATGTGCCTTTCCTGGTTTGTCCCCACCAATTTGGCATTTAGCAGGATTTAACCTGCAGGATAGTGATAATGGTAGTAGCACTCACTGATGGGTTTAGTTTTTTAAATGATAGCTATGATTTAAGGATGCTGCATTAAGTTAGTATATCACAGCATTCCATGGATTAATGTTTCGAATTTTTCATAAATTAAATTCTCATCTCAGTTAAACTGCTGGGTCACATCCCAAGTACAAGTTTCTCAAGAAGGGAAAAGTATTTATTTGTAACATCGGACATTGCCTTTTATCATAGAAAATCCCTACAGTGTGGAAACAGGCCCTTTGGCCCAACAAGTCCACACCAACTCTGATATCCCAGCCAGACCCATCCCCCTAATCTACACATTCCTGAACACTGTGGGCAATTTAGCATGGCCAATCCACCTAACCTGCACATCTTTGGACTGTGGGAGGAAACCGAAGCACCCGGAGGAGACCCACGCATACACGGGGAGAATGTACAAACTCCACACAAACAGTCGCCCGAGGGTGAAATCGAACCTGGGACCCTGGCACAGTGAGGCAGCAATGCTAACCACTGAGCCACTGTGCCACACTTATCTAGAGACTGATGGCTTAAGAGCCTCATTGAACAAAGACCAGTGTGCAAAATGAGATCTCCTAAAAGGAGATCATGTAAGGAGAAGAATCAATTTAAGATTTTTGATCACAGTTTCCTGGAGCTTGATTGATTTTTGAGTCATGGAATTTTCTAGAACTTCTACTGGGACAAAATACTATTTTTTGTCTACTCCAGAAGTTACTTTATTGCATTTTGTCAGGATGGTGCATGAGACTGACCGTCAACATTCTTTTTCCCACTCAGGTTTAGTTTTTATATGAGTAGGTATGATTTTAGACAGGTGAGAAAGATAAGTGTTGCAAGATCATTTCATTCACGGTGGAAGGAACAAGATGAATAACTCACCCTCAGGCTTCTTCACAGTTCAAGTATCTAATAGTAGCATGGTGATTCTAGAAGAACAGTAGAGAGATGTTAATAATACCGATGAAGCAACTGAATTAAAAACAAAGCAATTTCCTTTCTCATTTTTAATGAGGCCTTCAGTTTGGCTGTTGGACTAATAGGCTTTTTGAGACTCTTTGTTAAGTATATAAAACCGAAAAACTTAATGTATTTTGTTTTTTTCCAATGTAGTTTGCAAGGAACCACCTTATAAAGTAGAGGAGTCTGGCTATGCTGGATTTATTATGCCGATTGATGTCTACTTCAAGAACAAGGTACTTCTGCTACTAATTAAACTTTACTTTTAATTTAAGAAAAGCAAAGAAAAAACAGATCACTCTGAACCTGAATCTTGTCTTATCCCCTGCTCTGTCTGATTCCATAACCCAGAATCTTGAGATAGCCTGTGCTTTGGATGAACAGTTACAGCCAGAACGTTTCCATGTATTATTCTCTTGGGTGTTAGCTGACCTGCTGAAATATTTTCAGCATTTTCTGTTTTAATTTCACAATCTCTTCAGCACCACAAATCAGAGTAGAGCAGAGGAGGGGGTCTGGAGTTCTACTTCCTTCTAACCCTTAAACCATGGCTGTTAGACAGTTTCCCAAACGCTACTTGAAAAATCCCAAATTCACCTAAACAATCCTGCATGCTGTTTGACTCCCCTTGACCACACTTCCAAGAGACCAGACATTGTTCCTGCTCCCAAGATTGCCCTCACTCCAGAGACTTGAGCACAAACCCTATGCTGACCTGCCAGTATAGTACTTAGGTAGTAAGTACTACACTGTTGGAAGGACTGCCCTTCAGATGAAAGTTAAACCCCAAGGCATAAAACAGAAATTGTTGGAAAAACTCAACAGGTCTAGCAGCATCTGTGGAGATAAATCAGGGTTAACATTTCGGGTCCAGTGACCCTTCTTCAGAACTTTGATTTCTGTCCAGATGCTGCTAGACCTGCTGAGTTTTTGCAACAGTTTCTGTTTTTATTTCTAATTTACAGCATTTGCAGTTCTTTTGGTTTTGAGTTGAACTATGGCCCAGTCTTCTCCTCAGTTTCTATGTCTCTTTTTCTAAGACGTGCAGAGGATTTCTTCTTGGTGTTTTCACTAATATTTACCCCATAAGCCAAGTCATTAATGCATCTTATTTGATGGTTATCATATTGCTGTTTGTGGAAGCTTACTTTGTGTCTGTTGCATTTCTGACATTTTAGCAGTGACCAAATGTATTTTGTTGATGATAAAGCACTTTTGGATCTGATGAAGTCATGCATGGTGCTATATAAATGGGCGTCTTTCTTTTGCAGACTTGAATGCTGCTTCCAGTGACCTCAGATCCTTACACCCACTGCAATATTTCCACTGCTCCTCTCAATGCTATTACAAGCTTTCCTGGTCATAGTGGTAGTACATCATGAGACCCTATGCTAATATTTAGGTCCAGCAGACCAGGCCGATTGTGTTGATTGGGGTCAAATCTTCAGGCCCTTGATGTTTTGGGAGAATGAGCTGTGCATTTTTCAGCAAGTTCGGTATGGAGTAAAGGACAATACAGCACCATCTAGTGATCAGACCCAGTTTGTTTGGGGCTTTATGATTGCAAAAATGGATTTCAAAACCTATATTGGAAAATTTGAAAATGTCAGAGACAATATGATAACGAGGTGCAAGGTTTTGTACATGAACTATTAATACTGAGCTCCAGTTTAATGTTCTGGAGAAATAGCTTCAGATCCCAGCATGTCAGATGATGAAGCTTGAATTCAATAAAAAAAAAATGCTGGAATAAAATACTAGCCTAATGGTGACCATATAATGACTCTCAATTGTAACTATAAACCCATCTGGGTCACAGTTATCATTTGACAAAGGTAATCTGCCACATTTAACTGGTCTGGCCGACACATGACTCCAGATCCAAAGCAATGTTGTTGACTCTTAACTGCCCTCTGGGCTATTGGGGATAGTCAATTAGCCTGGACAGCAATGCCCACGTGCTATTAATGAATGAAATAAAACCAAGAACGTAAGACAGTTGATGAAATATAGATATATGGATTGTAGTGAGGGAAACTGTTTGAATCTGTTATTAAGGAGGTAATAACAGAACATTTGGAAAGTCAAAAAAAAAATCCCATCAGAATCAGCATAGTTTTATGAAGGATAAATTATGTTTGATTAATTTGCTAGAGTTCTTTGAAGATGTAACAAGCAATATTGATAATAGGCATCCTCTAGATGTGGTATAATGTGCACTTGATAATGTGCTACACAAAAATTTCATACACAAGGAAAGACCACACAGTTCTAGGGGTAATTTATTAGTTTGGAATGAGGACTGTCTAACCAATCAGAAGCAGAAAGTTGGGATAAAAGGGTCTTTTTCTTTGGATGGGTCTTTGGCAAAATGTAACTAGAGGGTACCACAGGTTCTCGGGCCACAGCCAATTGTTGTTTATATTAATGACTTGGGTGCAGAGATCGAAAATACTATAGCCAGATTTGCATATGACACTAAAATGGGTGGGAAAATAATTTGTAATGAAGAAATGAGAAATTTGGATATGGCTACAATTTGACAGTTAAAGTTTAACATGGATAAGTGAGAGCTTATCCATTTTGGTCAGAAGAATAGAAAGACAACTTATTACCTAAATGGAGAGAAACTTCAGGGTGTTCAGGCACAGAGGGATCCGAATGTCCTTGTGCATGACTCACCGACATTGCACTCATTCTCCCAGTCATTTTCTGTTCCATGAGGAAGTTCCATGTGGCTCCTCATCCCATGTAGTCATGTTTGAGTAGCCACTGGCTTGTGAAGAAACAAAGTCTGATGTCAGAATGAATAACTTTGACTTTTGCCTGGAATGCCATGAACTTTGTAAAGTAGCAATGTTAAGTACCACTAATTGATTTGAGCAAATGCTATTTTAATCTGCTAATTTCTGAATTTCTGATTTAAATGCACTGACTAAAGCTATAAATAAAATGTTTAGCATGTGCAGTAGAGTAGCGAGATTCTAAATACTTTTTGTTATTTTACACATCAGGAAGAGCCCAAAAAGGTTTGTTTCACATATGATTTGTTTCTGAATCTGGAAGGGAATCCACCTGTAAATCATCTACGCTGTGAGAAACTTACCTTTAACAACCCCACCAAGGAATTTCGACGCAAGCTTTTGAAAGCAGGAGGGGTAAGTTTCAGTTGCCCAGTAATGAAGACTTTAACTTTATGTTGAAAGTAATGTCTTACTGAATATATGCTGAAGGAGAGGTGATGACCTCGTGGTACTATTGCTGGACTATTAATTCAGACACCTAAGCAATTTTCTAGGGTTTGAACCCACCGTGGCAGATGGTGGAATTTGAATCCAATTAAAATCTGGAAATGAGCGTGTAATAATGACCACAAAACTGTTGCTGATTTTTGGAAAAACCCATCAGGTTCACTAATGTCCTTTAGGGAAGGAAACTGGTCTTTACCTGGTCTGGCTCACGTGTAACTCTGGACCCACAGCAATGTTGTTGACACTTAACTGCCCTTTAGGCAATTAGTGATGGACAATAAATGCTGGCCTAGCCAATGGTGCCCACATTCAGTGAATTAATTTAAAAAACCTCTCCAATTGGCCTTGAATATAGTAGGCATCCAATTCATTATGCGTTCCATCTGAAGCCAAATTATACGATTTAGCATTGCGTTTTTGCACTAATTCTCTGCACCTCTTGGTACAAAACAAAAAAATCTCTTTGCCATGTATATGGAGGCTTCCGGTTTTCTTGAAACAAGTTGAGGCCTGTAGACAGCATACAGTAGAAGCCCGTCAGGTAAATGCAAACTTTATGCAGCCAGGATAAGGAGGAATACCCTGAAGTGGAACAGTACTAAATCTTCATGTTACAACAGAGAGCATTAGCTGGTAGATAATATTTCAGCATGTAAGTAGATATCAGCATGTGAGGACATAGCGACAAATTAGATAAAACTATTCATTTACAGAGCATGGGAAAATGCATGCTAAGTGTTACAATCACATGGGTAACATAGTGAGCATATAACCATGTCTCCTCAGCAGGATTCTGCTCTCCAAAGGAGTCTTCATTGGGAACTATGGCTGTGTTTTTTTTTCAATGCTTCAGTGTATGGAATATCAGTGTTCTTGGCAACCCTGTTCTGTGAAGCACCGTGAAATGGTGAATACAGATTCCAGAAGGCTGATCCTGAGTTGGAACAGGGCATTGTATTTGTTAGTCGGGATATTTAAAGTGGTGGTGGCTTAGTGTGTGGTAATGGTCTTCTCAATGTGTGTATGGTATTCATATTCCTCATTATCTCTGCCTAATAGTCATTCTCTGTAACAAATAGCCAGACAGCCTTTCTTTCTTTTTTTTTAGGTTATGGTAATGCCTGAAGGAACCGACACAACCTCCAGACCAAGTCCAGACTATCCCATGCTGCCGACAATTCCTCTCTCTGCATTCTCTGATCCAAAGAAAAGCAAACCATCTCATGGGTCAAAGGTCAGTTATCCAGGCCAGAATTGTCTACATTCAGAACATTTTATAAAATGTGAAATTATTTTCAAATTTAAAATTCTAATCCAGGAGAAGTATTGAGGGTAATTTCCACCCTCACTGCTAGGTTTCACTCGCCTTACTTTAGTTTCCATTGAATCTGTGGTTTTATATTGGTGTGAGATCTCTGATTGAGTTGATTGAGCAATCTGTGAAGGTTAAAATTATCCCCATTGTATTTTCTCTTTTCAAGTAGCTCTAATTGTAAAACAAAGGGCTCTGAACATGGGAGCTTCAACCTGGTAATGTTCTGGCACCCAGGTTTGAATCCTGCCATGGCAGATGGTGGAATTTGAATTCAATAAATATCTGGAATTAGGAGTCTAATCATGACCATGACTCCATTGTCAATTGTTGGAAAAAATCCATCTGGTTCACCAATGTCCTTTAGGGAAGGAAACTGCCATCCTTACCTGGTCTGGCCTACATGTGACTGCAGTCCCACAACAATGTGGTTGACACTTGACTGCCCTCTGGCCAGTTAGGAATGGGTAATAAATGCTGGCCTGGCCAGTGACGTCCACATCCCATAAATGAATGGGAAAAAAAAACAATGTCAGTAAAATTTCTCTGTCAGTTACATAAGGAATTAACTTAAAATAATAGGTTTGACAACATAATTCGTTTTATGCATTTTCTATTATGAAAGTTACTTCATTGTAGCTTTTGATCTAGAAGGCCTTCCATATTCCTGATCTATCAGTGATAGGGAGCCAGGAGCATTGTGAGTCATGTGACATGGTAGTCTTGGCACCATTGTCCATTCCTGTGTCAGTCAAGAGATAAGTCATGCTGTGTCGTTTCTATCCATCACCACTAAAATCTCTGCAATTCTTACTAGATCATAGAATCCCCACAATGTGCAAGCAGGCTATTTGGCCCATTGAGTTCACACCAAACCTCCAAAGAGCACCCCATCCAGACCTTACCCTTGTCATCTTGCATTTCTCATGGCTTATCCATCTAGCCTGCACATCCCTGGACACTGTATGGACAACTTAGCATGACCAATCCACCTAACCTGCACACCTTTGGACTGTGGGAGGAAACCCAAGCAGACATGGGGACAGTGTGCAAACTCCACACAGATAGTCCCCCCACCACCGCCCGGGCTGGAATCAAACCTGGGTCCCTAGTGCTGTGAGGCAGCAATGCTAACCACTGAGCCACTATGCTGCCCAGATTGTCCATGACCTCGTAATTAATTATTAATTTTGCACAGAAATTTTTTTCTTTACAGTCAAGCCAAGACTGTTTTCATGATTTTAAATGATCTTGCTCCATCTACCAAGTGAGAAAAAGAGTGTTTGTTGCAATGAGGATATAATGTTATAATATGCTTTTGCTATTGTGATGATTTGTTCCAGAAGTCAGACATTTAAATCTCAAGGTTTTGAAAGACAGAGCCCAAGGCCATTTTGTTAATCATACTCATATATCGCAAATCTTTCAATTTAATGCACGTTCCCAGGCTTTTGATTTCTTCTCAAAGTGTACCATCTTACACTTTTCCGCACTAAATTTTATCTGCCTCCTGTCTGCTGTTTTCTTGTTCCTGTCCACTTCCCATTGTTTCCTTAATGTCTTGTCTAGCTTGTTCTTCAGCTCACCTGCTGAAATCTTCATCAGTGCCTCTGTTACCTGTAGGCTTGACAATCTCAAAGCACTTCTGGCCAAGCTCTCACTTTCTACCCTCCATAAAATCATCCAAAATTCTGCTGCCTATGGTTGTTACTAGCACAGAATTCTGTTCACCCATCGCACCAGTACTTGCCAGCCAACATTGAATTCTGTTAAACTATCTTAAAAATCCAACTCCTTATTTTCAAATCCCTTCACGGCCTCAGTGCTGTCTATTGCTGTAATCTCCATTAACCCCACAATCCTCTGTAGCAATCTGCTTTCCTCCAGTTCTTGTAACATGATCGTAGATTTTGATTGCTCCCTCTTTGATGTCTGTGACTTTAGCTGTCTGGGCGCTAAACTCTGGAATTCCCTCCCTAAATCTTTTTTTGTCTCTGTTTCTTTTCCCATTCAAAGACATCTTTAACCAGGCTTTTAACATTTGGCCTAATATCGCTTATTGTGCCTCAAGCTTTGTTTTACAACACTCTTATGAATCACCTTGGATTTTCTTATTATCTTGAAATTTCTGTAGTTTTTGTAAACTTATATTTGGAGAATATAAATCCCTAAATAATTTCCTCATTAAAACAACAATGTAACTGCAAGATTGTCAACGATTTGTCAACACACTTGCAGAATGTGGTGATTACTTTGTTTATGGTAATTGTTTTCACTCTGTGGGAGATGCATATTGGGAGCTGGAATATCTGATAGCTGAGTGTAAAGAGCGAGTTAAACTTCACCTGTTTAAATCTAACACTTGGGAGTGCCACATTAATCTCATGGAGATGGTGTGATGTAACTTTGCCATAAAGACAGGAAATGCATTCAAATGTAAAACTAAAATAAAACAAGCACCTGTATTGATATCATTCCACCCATATCCTCAGGACAACGCAAAATATTTCTCAGCCAATGAGATGTTTTTGACATCAAGAGAAACTAAGAAAACTAATGACCTTTTAATTTACTTTGGCTGTGGTTTAGCTGTTGATCAGAACTACTTTCTCTGAATAGCATCATGGGACCTTTTTACATTGATCTAAGTTGGTGCATTAGGGCCTTAGTTTAATGTCTCATTTGATGATGTAGTAGTCAGTCACACTGCACCAAAGTATTCAGGCTATCTTAGGACCCAGTTCCTGGAGTGGGACTTAAGCTGATTATTTTTTAATACTAAGATGATAGTGCCATTATTGAGTTGACACAGTCAATATTTGTAGTAATGGATCTCTCTATGCATTGCTATTGATGCAACATAGGATGCATACAATATAGTGTCCAATGTAGTAGCAAGGTTTGTGATGGTTTAGGAGATATCCAGTGGTTTACAAGCACCTGTATGGATATTGCTTCTCTTAGGGTTGCTTTTTGGGCTGGAGGCCGGTGACCAGCAGTTGCTACAAGTGCTGGCTCCACTGCTTTTTGTCATTTATATATTGTCATTTATACAAATTGTTTGGATGTGAATGTAGGAGGTATGGTTAGTAAGTTTGCAGTTGACACTAAAATTGTTGGTGTAGTGGACAGTGAAGAAAGTTACCTCCAAGTACAACGAGACCTTGGTCAGATGGGCAAACGAGCCAAGGAGTGGCAGATGGAGTTTAATTCAGATAAATTTGAGGTGTTGCATTTTGGTAAGACAAATCAGGTCAGGACTTATATGGTTATTGGTAAGTTCCTGGGGAATGCTGCTGAACAAAGAGATCTTGGAGTGCAGGTTTACAGTTCCTTGAAAGTAGAGTTCCAGGTAGACAGGATAGTGAAGAAGACATTTGGTATGCTTGCTTTTATTACTCAGTGCATTGAATATAGGAGTTGGGAGGTCATGTTGCGGCTGTACAGGAAATTGGTTAGGCCACTTTTGGAATACTGTGTTCAATTCTGGCCTCCCTACTATAGGAAGGATGTCGCTAAACTTGAAAGAGTTTAAACTTGAAAAGATTGACAAGGATATGGCCAGGGCTGCAGGGTTTGAGCTGTAAGGAGGGCCTGAATAGACTGGGGCTATATTCCTTGGAGCGTTGGAGGCTGAGGGGTGACCTAATAGAGGGTTATAAAATCATGAGGGGCATGGATAGGGTGAATAGACAAGGTTTTTTCTCCAGGGTAGGGGAGTCCAAAACAAGAGGGCATAGGTTTATGGTGAGAGAGGAAAGATTTAAAAGGGACCTAAGGGGCATCATTTTCTCAGAGGGTAGTGCATGTATGGAATGAGCTGCCAGAGGTGGTGGTGGAGCGTGGTACAATTGCAACATTTAAATAGCATATGAATGGGAAGTGTTTAAGAGGGATATGGGCCAAATGTTGGGACTAGATTAATTTACGATATATGGTCGGCATGGACAGGTTGGACCGAAGGGTCTGTTTCCATGCTGTATATCTCTGACTATATATTCTCTGGATATCCTAGTTAAACTTTTGTTTTAGTCAGTTAAAAACTGCAATATTAGCATTTAAAAAAAAAAGTCCTGTATCTGTATTGTAAAACAATTTTTTATATCTGGGTATAGATGATAGGCAACATCCAGGCTTATCAGTGATTTTAGTGTAGTCTACAGTTAAAATACATGATTGAAAATTGGATATTTTCAATCTACTTTTGTACATATTTTAGAAATTTATCTATGATCATTGTTTAATTTTTGCACTATATGCTTTTGATTGTTTAGTGTGAAATGAATAATCTTCATGTTTGCAAACAACTTGCTGAAGTTAGGAGTTGTGACCGATTCCTCTATTAATTACTTCTGTTCTTACAAAGCAGGACACAAGCCGAGAAAGCAGCAAATCCTCAAAACCTCACAAAGTCACGAAAGAGCACAGAGAACGACCTGTGAAAGATACTGAGAACAAGCCAACTGTAAAAGAACCAGAAAAGGAACACAGTAAATCATCCAAGGAGTCATCGCGAAAATCAGCAGAGAGCAAGACTTCAAAGGAAGAAAAGGCCACACCAAAGGCAACTTCTAAAGAACCAAAACCTGCCTTCAAGGAGTCTAAACTAGATAGCATGTCGCCCAAGGGTGGAGGTAACCTCCATCAGGAATCAAAGCCTAGTATTAAGAGGCCCTCTAACACAGATTCACTGAAGGCCAATGCCAAAAAACAAAAGAAAAGCACTTCTGAGTCATCAAAAAGTTTCCCAAGTGTCTCGCCAAGAATTTCTTCTTCTTCTTCTTCTTCTTCTTATGCTGAAAAAAAGAAATTGAATGAAAAAGAAAAGGAAAAAGTGAACGTTAAAATAGAGAAAGTTAAATCTGAAAGTAATGTGAAAGAAGTGAAGAAGGCAGTGGATTCAGATGACTGTAATTCAGAAGATGAAGTGGTGTCCAAATCTGAGGTAAAGAACCATATTTTAAAACCTAAATGTGATTGCTAAAGGGAAGTATTCCTTTGGCATTCAATACTGTGGAATAGTAGGAAATAAGATTGTAAAAATCATTATTATGAGAGTTACTGATCCTACCTGAATTACCATTCCTCCCACCACCCAGCACGTTGTCGGTGGGCCAAGAAAATTAAACCCTGTGTTTCCCTACTTGGAAGAAGGACAAACGTTTGGTATGTTTGTTGAAGCAATTTGTTTTGCAGGCTGGCTTTCACGTGAATGTGGAATCCAAATCCAACCAATAGACTGTGGAGCTGGGAAATGGAAGGAATTAGGAGGGGTGATGACAACTCCCCACCACCATGTCAGTTGTCCATAGCAGGAACCAGAGAGTTCACTTTCTATCACCCCGCATATTGTCTGCATTTGGCTGGTTCATTCTGGCAGCGTCCCAGTATATATGCTTGACCAATGTTTATTCCGTGTCCCTAGTTGCCCATGAGTGTGTTTTGGTGAGTTGGTGTAATTGTTAGATTCTTAGATACTCGGGAAATTGGAGAATACAGGGGTTGTGTAGGAAGGTGGGATTGAGGTGGATGATAAACTGTGATCTTTCCTGCTAGAGCAGGCTAAGACTATCCAAACCATTCAATTCTAGTGCAAAAATTTTAGTTCTGTTCCCCAATATTACTGAATTGACAGTTGTTTAATTGAACAATTATTTACATTTTATAGTTTTGGTAATTCTGTTAAAAGTATTAGTCTGCTAACTATTTCAGATAATGAAATCTAGCTGCAGTCTTTGGAACGATGTTGTCAAAAATGAGATTACTTTTGCAATTTGCAAGAAAAGAAAATACAACGTTGTCTAGCATGGAAGTTGTAAAATATTATTAAACTTTAAAATTCTGGTAAAAGTATATCACAGGAGGCCTTATGGCTCCATTGGGGGGCATCCCTTCTCTATGCCAGAGGATGGGGTTCAAATCCCGCACCAGGACTTAGTGACCACAGGGGAATATTTACGATGTCATTCATAGAAGTTGATTCAGCCTGCTAACCCTTCCAACACTTCAGCACTATTCCCTAAAAGGATAACGGTGCTTGCGAATATATGGAATAAACAAATATTTTTTGTTCCTGCTACTGTTCACTTGTTCTCTCATTGTTTAAGAATTTGTTTGGAAGTGTTGTGGAATACTGACGTAAAAATAATTCGAGAATCTTTTTAATCTGTTTAAAATGTAAGGGTACATGCTCAAAATAGTCCAGAGTTTGCTGTTCCTTTACTCATAATTGGATGCATTCAATATTCCTATTAAATACAGGCCCTTTTGAATTTACTTTTTAAAAATTGCAAATCATTATTAAGTGTTAAACATCCTGGATATGAGAAATGCCATCTGGTTGCTTCTAATTGAAGTGACTTCCTGTTATGGAAGTTTTCAATTGCACTGAAGTCTCTTCTGCAGACGTTCACTCCCTCCACCGCTGATACACAGTAGCAGTGATGTGTGCCATCTACCAACCTGACTTGGAAATATATCCTGTTCCATCGCTGTCACTCAGTCACAATCCTAGACCTCCCTCCCTAATTGCATTCTGGATGTGTCAACTTCCATGGACTGCAAGGATTCAAGAATTCAACTCTCCACCATTTCTCAAGGATAATTCGGAACAGGCAGCAAGTGCTGACCTAGCCAGCAAAGCCACATCCTGTGAATGTATAAAAATATATTATTTGCTTTTGGTCACTCTTGTTGGCATGGTAGCACAGAGTGAAAATGAACATTAGTTCTGACCTAATATTGAAAGCAAAATACTACAGATGCTGGAAATCTGAAATAAAGAGAAAATGCTGGAGAAACTCGGCAGATCTGGCAGAATCTGTAGAGAGGGAAACAATTAAAGTTTCAAGCTCAATGTGGCTCTTCAGAATAAGAGTCTTTGGACTCAACATTAATTCTGTTTCTCTCCATGGATGCTGCCAATCTGCTGAGATTCAGCAGCATTTTCTCCTTTTTATTTTTGGAATTCCATTCTTCTTGGACTCTGATTTAGCATCTACTATATTTCTGTCTTTGATTTCAGCAATCTCAGCCCACCTTTTTTTTTGGATGAGTGCATGCAAACTATACAGAATTAGGATGTGGTGATGTCATATGTCCTGTATAGTGTCATTTCTACCTCCATGTTCTTGCTGTTGTAAAAGACGTACCCTGGGTTGTTAGGCCACAGTGGGGAAAAAACAAAGCAAATCCAATTTAAAGAAACCAGCAGTTACATGGGTAAGGTTTGCAGAAACCTCTACATATTCTATTTTGATAAATTCATTTGACTTTTCACTGCATCAACTACTATCATTTCTGTCTTTGTGCTGTTTGCTGAGAGGCTGTCATTTTTCTTTACCATTGTCCCACCCATTCCCCAATCCGTGGACTCCCTTTTGGACTTCTTTTCTACTACTACTTGGGAGAAGAGTAGGAGCAAGTAGATGGGTTGGTCAAACGTGCTGCAGGTATGCTGCACTTAGATGTGTGCATCCCCACATCAAAAAAGCATCAGCAGAGGTGTTCCTACCCATAGTAGTCCAGGAGCAGTGAAAGAGAACAGGCAGTGAGTTAATGGTGCATGTAGCAGCCTAACCTCTGGCTAACCTGCAAGCAAACTTCACACTGTCACTGACTGTGTAATCTGCTGCCTTTTATTCTGGGAGATCATTTGAAGCTACTGGTAGAGGCACCATTAACGGTAGGCAGTCAGTATTTCTACCATATTTCAGATATCAGAGAGGCTTGGTGTTGGGGGTGGTAGGACATCCATTCATGTCATCCTGAGACACATCATTATCACTGCAATTTTTTGCAATATCTCTAGCACTGGGATCTGGCACTGTGTAGCCTCTGATCTGCAGGAAAGCAGGCCTTACAATAACAATAAGATCAGTGAAGCTTTTCTCATGTCTTTCTGTGACCTGTTACCACTGTTAAAGATACAGTAATCTGACACCTCAGATCTGGCTATCATTGGCTAAAGGGTGTGGTGTTATAACAGGCAGCCACTCTCAAATTGTTATAGGAATACAATCAAAGTTACCATCACATTGTTTTAAAATGCAGCAATTAATATCCTGTAACTCATTCCCATATTCATCCCATAATGAAACAGTCTGCAGTTTTTTTTCTGGAAATCCAATGATTGATTCAGCCTGTATTTTTGACTTCTATATTTTTAAAATGATCTTAAATCCATGGCACCATTCCAGTTGGACTCCTGTTTCTCGGTGTTGAAGTTATGTTAGTCATTCCTTTAAATGTTGATTTGCAGTCAATGTTACCATTTGTTTTCCTGATACAACATAATGCTGAGTGATAATTTGTGACTCTATCCTATTGGCAAGGTGCAGGTACATCATCAGGCTGATGGATAAGATTACATTCTACCCTAATTGGAAAATCGTTGGCCTTAAAAGTTAATGCAATATGTTAGCTACTATTAGACCTTGACTGAATTGCTCAGTCTGTTAAGTCAGCCTCTTAAATCAGTCTGTTTACCTTTTAGACAGCACCTTGCCTTGTTCCTTTTACAGCTGCCCAAACTACAGTTCCTGTAAATGCAAGTTTGCATTGGAGAGCAATGATGTAAGAAAGTAGCCTGTAAGAATAAAAATCTAAAACTGCAACCTGAGTAGTATCTGACCAGAATGTCATTTGTGGAAGCAAGTTACTTGGCTGTTTCCCTTCTGCAAATTCACATAAAAGCTCCTATAAATCACTGCTGTTCAAAGCACTTGGTCAATCTGCAGGCTTCTACCCAAATTGAGCATCCTCAGACAAATAATATCCCTCGCCCCACCAACTCCACACGCATTCAAGAAGATTTATGGATCCCCAAGATTTATATCCCTCCCTCCTTACTGAAATTTCCTCTTTAAACCACTCATTCCCTTGCTTTGCCAATGAGATTATTTTTGGCACTGGCATGTGACCACAACTACACTTGCCAACAAGTTGCCACTTAACGCTTGTCCCAGATTGGTAGCTAGCAAATGGGGCCTGTACTTGAAAATCATTTTTGCAGATTCAGAATAATGCAACTGTTCTAAACCTGTAACAGCTGTAGCAGTTCGTGGTGGCTACTTCATTTCCTTGCACAGATGCTTTTGAAGAGATATTCCTTAAACTATACATAACCTGTTGTGTCTCTTTAATGGAGAGAAATACCAAATGGTCCTTTATGGACTGTGGCTAATTACAAAAATAAGGTGTGCAATTACCTTGCACCCATCTGGTCCTCACCAGAACTTAAAAATGAACTGCGATTAATTGATATTGAGTTCAGTTTATTACCTGTCAGTAATTTTCATGACTGACTTACACTCTTTTCTCTGTTCAGTCTGTACGGACCAGTCAGTCCAACTCAAGTTCAAGTTCAGATTCAAGCTCAGATTCTGATTTTGCACCATCTCAAAACCACAGACAAGGTATGGAATCTTCTCAACATTGCTGTTTATGACGACAGTTCGCAGATATATTTTTAGTTCTCTAGTTCTGTCCTCAATTGAGCATAAATATGACCAGGTATATAGCATGAATGTAGGCGGAGTAAATTTTTTTTTGAGTACCTTCCCCATTGCCCCTCAGTGAATTTGTTTCAGTTGTTTCCTCATTGACTTGAATATTGCCTTCTAATCTTATGCATTTGTTTGTTGCTTCATCATGTTATGATGATCACTTTTCTTTCCAGCCTTCTATTGTGTTTCTAGAATTTTGTGGAAGGGTGATTGAACTTCTGTCAGTACTGATGATAAAAAGTCAAGGGTAATGAGGGAGTGCCAGGCAGAAATGTGGAGCTGAAACCACAAACCAGATCAACCATGGTCTTATTGAAAAGTGGAGCAGATTCAAAGGGAGAAATAGCCTACTCCTGCTCCTACGTACTATTTTCCTATGACGTGAAAGGACTTCACCAATTGAGGACATGGCTCGATAATATCCAAAGCAGAGAGTGAGCATTAGGACCTGGCCAGAGTGGCCTCACAGATGGCCAGACCCAGCACCATAGGGTCATAGAGATGTACAGCACGGAAACAAGCCCTTTGGTCAGTATTGCCTCCTTTGCATTCTGTGCCTTCTGTTCTTCTGTCAGCACTACCCTCCCTGTAAATCATCCCACCTATCCACATCTTTAGCTTCCAGTCCTTCATGTTATCATTTGAACACAGATGGGACCATTGCTGATGACATTTTCATCTCCTCATATCACAAATAGAAATATTGAAAATATACAGCACTGAAGAAGCTATTCTTTCCATTGTTCCTGTGCACCTCTCAGTATCTGAACATCTATTGTGCATACCCTTTAATTGTTTGCTCTCTCCAAATGCACTAGCGCACACATTTCTAGATTGAGTTCCATTTGCTACTTTTTGCCCACCTGACCAGCCTGTTGTTAACTTACTGCAGTCGACCTCTATCATCTTGACTATCAACCGATAAATTAATTTTATACGTCTTAAAAACTCCTTAATCATGCTCCCTACATTTCAGTCTAAATTTAACATGAAAAGTCAAGTCCTAGTATTGAACATTGCAGACCTTACAGTAATTCCTACTGGGAGTACAGAACTTTAACATTGCTAAAAAGGGAAATGAAAACCAACCTTTTTTTCTTGCACCCATCTGGACTGAAATTTAAGAAAACCAAGTTTAGAACGGACACAACAATTTGTAGCATGAGAAGAGTTTGCTGATTAGTTGGGCTGTGATTGGCATGGAGATTAAAAACAGGAGCTGTTACTGTCTTAGTTAACTTATTAAATCCGAACGAGGCAAGTTGATTCTGATTGGTTGGGGCATTTCCTTTGGGTTGCAGTAAGGATGGGCTGTCTCTGTAGCCTTTTTCTCAGTGGAAAAGGTGTAATGTGTGGACATATTCCTTTTTCCTCAAAAGAAAGGACCATGTAAGTGAATAAATGTAACTTTTAGTATGCATAGCTATTCCTTCTAATGCCAGTCCAAAGAGAGCTCAATCAGATTTGTCTGAAAGCATGGCAGTGAACTTCAGTGTACGGGCGAGGATGGAGATTACAAGGTATGAGACAGCAACAACAACTGGATAACTATAGAGATGCTACCCTGCTGGGCACTGAAGGATGAGGAAGCATTGTATTTCTCTCCATTCTGCAGGTTTTCTTCTTCCAGATCTGTTGTCAAATTGTTTAAATTTTTCCCCAGCACCAGCTATTGGTCTTTTAAATGAAACTGAGAAGGATGTAGTAGCACTTTCATCCTATGAAAAGGATGAAAGGCCATCTCTTGCTTGTATATTTCACTATAAACCTTGTTAGTTTCTAAAATAGAAAGCTTTTCTAAGATAAAAAGCATGCATTGCTCATGTGTCTTGATTTTGTGTCTTTAAGTCCACCTATAAGCAGCTGAGAAAAGTGAGTGTACACATCTGAGTATGGAGAAGTTTTGGCAGTGACTTTCTTGTGACTGATTTTTCAAAAGGTGAAAGTAGGTATCCATAGGAGACTGATCCTATAAATGATTTCATTTCAGGCTGATATAACTCAGTGTCTACTGGCGCCTATTACGAAAACACCAGAAGTAATGACTTTTACACTAAACCACATGGGGAGATACAGATGCCACTTGATCATCACTATAGTTGTTGATCTCTGTTCAACTTCTTTTGTCTCCAGGGCCCCTGCGGTCTATGGTAGAGGAAATCCAATCCGAAGGCTCTGATGATGACAGCAGCTCCGAGGAGGAAAGGCCTGTAAAAAACATCGCAGTTAGCAGAGATCACAGGTCGGTGAGCTTAACAGATGGGAATGTGACAGAAAGTTCAGTTGTGTTTCATCCATTGTTTGGAAGCTGTGCACTCTGGACCCAAGGTAGAAATTTTGATCACCTTTGTATACCTTGACCAAGTCTAAGCACCAATAACCCTTTTAAAAAAGGCTTCCCGAATTGTTTTACTGAATAACTTAGAGGCCCCAGATAAGATTTACTACTGGAGACTAGTCATAATCAATTAATAGTTTGTACATACTTCAGAAGAATGATAGTGTATTTTTTTTAGACTTGCCTTATCTCTTGACAGTGTTCTTGTTAAGCCCAAATCAATATAGATTCGTGGGCATTAATAGCACAGAAGGAGGCCATTTGGCCCAATTTGTCTTTGCCAGTCATAGAGATGTACAACATGGAAACAAACCCTTCAGTCCAATTTATCCATGCCAACCAGAGAGCCTAAATAAACCTAGTCCCATTTGCCAGCCTTCGGCCCATATCCATCAAACCCTTCCTGTTCATACACCCATCGAGATGTCTTTTTAATGTTGTTATTATACCAGCCTCCACCACTTCCTCTGGCAGCTCATTCCATGCTCGCACCACCTCTGTGTAACAAAAAAAAAAAAATTGCCCCTTAGGTCCTTTGTTATTCTTACCCCTCACCTTAAACCTATGCCCTCTAGTTTTGGACTCACCCACTCTGGGGAAAAGACCTTGTCTATTTACCCTGTCCATGCGCCTCACGATCTTATAAACCTGATAAGGTCATCCCTTAGCCTCCAACGCTCCAGGGAAAACAGCCCCAGCCTATTCCGGTTCTCCCTGTAGCTCAAACCTTAGAAACCTGGCAACATCCTTATAAATCTTTTCTGAACCCTTTCAAGTTTCACTACATCCTTCCTATAGTAGGGAGGCCAGAACTGCACACAGTATTCCAAAAGTGGCCTAACCAATGTCCTGTACAGCTGCAGCACGACTTCCCAACTCCTATACTCAATGCACTGACTAATAAAGGCAAGCATACCAAATACCACCTTCACTATCCTATCTACGAGTGACTCTACTTTCAAGGAACTATGAATCTGCAATCTAAAGTCTCTTTGTTCAGCAATACTCCCCAGGACTTTGCCTTTAAGTGTAAAAGTCCTGCCCTGATTTTATAGAATCCCTATAGAATTCAGCCCAACAAGTCCACACTGACCCTCCGAAGAGCATCCCACCCAGAACCATCCTCCTGCATTTCCCATGGCTAACACACCTAACCTGGACATGCCTGAACACTATGGGCAGTTTAGCAAGGCCAATTCGCTTAGCCTGAACATCTTTGGACTGTGGGAGGAAACCAGAGCACCCGGCAGAAACCTACGCCGACACAGAGAATGTGCAAACTCCACGCAGGCAGTGGCCCAAAGGTGGAACTGAACCCAGATCCCTGGCGCTGTGAGGCAGCAGTGCTAACCACTGAGCCACCGTGCCTCCCCATTTGCCTTTCCAAGATACAGCACCTCTCATTATCTAATTTAAACCCGATCTGCCACTCCTCGGCTCATTTGCCCATCTGATCAAGATCCCGTTCTACGCTGAGGTAACCTTCTTTGCTGTCCATACATCTCCAATTTTGGTGTCATGTGCAAAGTTACTCAATAAAGATCAGACCACACTAATCCCACTTGCCCCACTTTTGGCCCATAGCTTTGGAATCTATGGCAATGGCAAGTGAATACCTAGATATTGTTCTAGACTGCCACCACCCTCTGCGTAAGAATAAAACAAATTTCTTCTCAATCGTGCTTTTGCCAACTACCGCTTATCTTAAATGTTTGCCTCCTGGCTATTGACCCCTTTGTAACGGATATTGCCTTCCCATCCATCCTTTCTATGCCCCATATAATCTTATACAACTCTATTGCCCATTGCTGCTCCAAGAAAAGCAACCCCAAACAATCCAATCCTCATAGCTCAGACTTTGCAGCCTAGGCAACATCCTGGTAAATCTCCTCTGCACCCTCTCCAATGCAGTCACATCCTTTGTCTTATGTGACCAGAATTGCATTATTGTTGTGGCCTAACCAGCTATTTATACAGTATCAGGATAGCTTCCTTTCTTTTACAGTAAAGTAAATATCCTACATGCCAAATTAAACACCTGTTCTACTCTTTTTTTTTTTTATTAATTCTAACTTTTATGCCCCTTGACATCCAGGGTTCTTGTTCCCGCTCTATCTTTACAAGAACATATTTGCCCTGTGCTCCTGCTATTTCCTCCTTGAATAACTTTCACTGCTCTGACACAGTTTTATCTGCAAATAGCTGCTCCCCATCCACTTGGTCAAATTAAATCTGAGTAAAATCAGCCTTTCCTCAGTTTAGAACTTTTTGTTCCAGCCCCATTCTTATATTTGGGATAGTTGTGGAAAATGATGAGTGAGGTCACTATCTCCAAAATACTCCCCTACTTTGTTTCCTCTGCCTCCACGTTCACTCCTTTATATTTGAGCTTGTAATTCCATCTCAGCTTCTCTCCCTACTGAACTACTTATTAGGATTCCATCCCCCTGCCAGTGTAGTTTAAATCCACCCTAACACCAGTAGCAAACTACTATGGGAGGATGCGGGACCTGTTTGTGCCCAGCCTGTACAAGTTCCAGCCTCCTTGGCTCCAATCCCAATGCCTCAGGAATCTGAAGCTCTCCTCCTTTTTCATCTCTGCAGCATTCAACTGCTGTATTCTTCTATTTCTATTGTTGTGTGTGCCACTAGCAGTAATCTAGAGATTACTACCTTTTGAAGTCCTGCTTTTGAACTTTTTACTTTTGTTATTTATTCATGGGATGTGTGCATTCAGAGGACAGTTAAGAGTAAATCACATTTAATGGGGAACTGCAGTCATGTGTAGATTAGACCAAGTGAGAGTGGCAGTTTTCCTTTCCTAAAGGGCACTAGTTAACCCAAATGGTTTTTGCAACAATTGTTGTCATAATGCGAGCTTTTTCTTCCAGAATTTTAAAAATTGAATTCATATTTCACCATGTGATTCAAACCCATGTCCCCAGAATGTTAGATAACAAGGTGTAGAGCTGGATGAACACAGCAGGCCAAGCAGCATCAGAGGAGCAGGAAGGCTGACGTTTCAGGCCTAGACCCTTCTTTGTTAGTCACGTTACCACCATGCACTGCCTCCTTTAACTCCCTACAGCTTGCCTGCAAGACCTAATTTCTCTATCTTCTTGTATCATTGGTCCCAACATGGACTGTGACCTCTGGCTGTTCACCCTACCCCTTTCAGAATGTCCAGCAGCAGTTCTGTGATATCCTTGATCCTGGCATCTGGGAGGCAACATACCATCCTGGAGTCATGTCCACAGCTGCAGAAGCACCTGTCTACTCCCTTTACTGACAAACTCTGACCACCATTGCCCTTCCACACTTCTTCCTTTCTCCCTCTCCCTCCTGCCCCTCCCCCTTCCCCAGAGTAACTGAACAACTTACTGCCCTGGCCTCAGCTCTGCCACTCCTTCACATGAAACTGTTTTCTCACCATTTTTGAAGGCCGAGAAATGGTTTACAAGTGAGGTCCACTCGGTTGGGGCGATTCTCCCAAGATCCGTCTGGTCCCTTCCATCTGCCTGGCAGTCACCTATTCCTTTCCTGTCTGCAGTTCCTTCAGCTGCGGGGTGACAACTCCTTGAGATGTCCTCTCCATGTATCTGTCAGTCTCACGCACACACACACGCACGCACTATAGTGTCCTCAGCTGCTGCACAAACTCCAAAACCCAAAGTTTGCGATACTCCAGCTGCGGGCATTTCCCATAAATGGGCTTCCAGCAGCATCTAGGATTTCCCACATCTGGCAGGACAGGTCAGAGCTCCTGAGATGTGCCTTAATGCAATAGAATATGGAGCTCTAATTTTATTTTACCTGTACTCCCACTGGAGTATAAACAAGAAAAATCTTCCTTGTATGTCAGCCAGCAACCAGAAGCGCTTAACTCTCAAGTGAAAACACTTAGGTTGGAAATTTTAAAATATTAATTATCTTTGTAAAGTTTAAGTTGTATTTGACCACAATCGATATCCAGTCAGGAGACACAGAGAAAAACCCACTGATTCTTGTGATATCACTCTTTAATTTTGTTGAAGCAGTTCAACCACTGTCTGTTTGCTTTTGAGACACCTCTGCTCATGCTGTCCTTATTTAATCCTGCTCCCTCCTGTCTTTAGTCTGCTGCCGTTCTGTCTGTTTGCGTCTTATCTCTCTTGTTCCTCTCTACTTCTTGATTTATCTTTTAATTTTTTTTGCAATACTTGTTCCCTCTCCTACAGATAATTTGCCCATGTTCATAATTGTATTAGCAAGATATTTAATTTGGTAGAAAACTCAACCTGTACCAATACATCATTTGGATAATGTGGCCCTAGTTGTGGCTGTTGTTGTATGCTGCATACACATGCAATGCTTCCTGACTGTGATATAACCTCCAAATTGATCACCTCTGTGATACAAAGGGTAATGCATTGGGAATAGACTTGAAAATCTAGGCTTGGCATTTTCTATTATTCCAAAACAAGATTCCTGTTCCATTAAAGGAGGGAACAATAATTAGTTTTTTTTTGCTAGTTCACCAGTCTGTCAAACATTACAGTGTACTGTAGTATAAATTTAATACTTTCGATCAATTTTATTCTTGGTTGTATAAGAGAATGCACAAAATAAACAGCACTTTGGCAACTATTTTTATTTAAAAGATTGTATAACTAAAATACTAGCTAATATTTTTCATCTAATGACTTTGCAGGAATTCATGTAATTTCTCAGCTCTCCAGGGCTATCATAAAAACAGAATTAGGCCCTTCAGCCCTTCAAGCTTGCACTAACATTTAATTAGATCATTGTTGATGTATGCTTCAATTCTATTTATTCGTCATAGCTCCATTCTTTGGTACCCTTGCCGAACAAAAATGTATCAGCTTCAGCCTTGAAATCTCCAATTATCCCAAAATCCACGGTCTGTTGATAGAAAAAATGTCCTATATTTATGCACAAAAACAAAGTTGCTGGAAAAGCTCAGCAGGTCTGGCAGCATCTGTGAAGGGGGAAAACAAGAGTTAACGTTTCGGGTCCGGTGACCCTTCCTCAGACAGCACAAACGCACAAGGACACTCTTGCTCCTATAGTAAAGAGATGAGCCATACTGAATTTTGTGATAAATACCCCACCCAATATTTTGAATAATTTGCAGACACTGAAAAAGAATGTCACCGGACCCAAAGCGTTAACTCTGTTTTTTCCTTCATAGATGCTGCCAGACCAGCTGAGCTTTTCCAGAAACTTTGTTTTTGTTCCTGATTTACAACCTTCTCAGTTCTTTCGGTTTTTATCCTATATTTATGCTATCACTCATGCAAAACAAATCTTTTCATTTTCCCTCTTGAATGACCCAGCTCTAATTTGATAACTCTATGGTCCCTTGTTTTTGAGCTTTTCCAGCAATGCAACTGTTTCTCTGTATTTACAATTAAATCTTTTCAAAATCTTAACCATTGAACTCAGATTCGATCAGCATGACTGTGTAGGTCTGTTATTTAGAGTGTCTTATTTTAGTTTCTGTCTAATCCTTAGCACTGTGGTTCCATCCATTGAGGAACAGATACTCGTGATTTGCTTAACCCAATAGATGTTGTGTCCTTCTGAATTCCACCTGTAAGAATAATTGTGATTTCAAATCTGATTCAAAAATTCATTCTTGATACTGACACTAAATCCTAGAACTCGCTGTTTAAACTCTAAAACTTTATTTTGTAATCTTGACACAAAAAGGTGACTGTGGTATGGACACTCTTGCTCCTATGGTAAAGAGATGAGCCATACTGAATTTTGTGATATATACCCCACTCAATATTTTGAATAATTTGTAAACACTGAGAAAGATTTTCTCTAGAGTAGTGCAACAGGAGCACTAAATCCAATGCAGGTTCAGTGTTTAAAGGTCTGTAGCTCACCAAAAAGGAGCAAGTTGTGATTGTGGCCGTAAAGTGGAGTAATTATTCTTGATGGTACATTGGAGGTTGATGAAGAATGGTGGTTCTTTTGATGCTTGTAAGGTTGGAAGTCCAGCTTTGGAAGATGCGCCAAAACAATCTTATTTGGGATTCAATGTCCCTCTGTAGTAAAAGCAAACCGCTTTAAACCACTTGATAGTAGAAAGCCATGCAGAGGCTTCGGGGTTGATGGCAATATATGCTCCCGCTATATTAGTGAGGAGCTTTCAGGATTCGTCTAGTGAGGGATCAGACTTGTACTTTACAGCAACTGTCCTCCTCAGAAAAGTGGAGGAATAATATCTTTAGAGTTTAAAATGCCAATAAGATAATTTCAGAATCCGTTCAGTGCTCCCTGATGCATAGGTAGTATGTTAAAGTATTAATAATGGTGGTGAGGGGTGCTTTTCTTCCTGACTTAACCTGGATGTGTAGATCTGACACTAGGCATTTTGATTTTTCTGCTTAGTTCTATATAACCTCTGAAGTCCATCAATTCTACATAATCAGCTGGACATGTGGCAGGGAGGATGCCAGAAAAATGTGAATGTCTATTGCATGACTTGAGTTGGTTAACTTCACTGGTACTACTGCATATAATTAAAGGGAGTGGAGACTGCCCAAATGTTTGCTTGCTAAGCATGCATCTGAGCACTCTGAATTAGTTAAGCATAGAATGGTATTATGAGGAGAGAGTTCCTGACTCCACCTTCTACATGCTGATTGGCTTCTGTGGATAAAACATCCTGCTGACCAAATGAAAGTGATGAAAATTTGGAATAGACGGAGGATGAAGAGAACAATTAGAATAAGCAGTCACCGGAGGGTTTGACACTCGTTGAACCTTATCAATGTCTGCAGTGTTTTCTTTGAGCTGTGCATGTCCTTCATAATATTGTATCTGAAAAACTTGGCCTCTGCCAGTGGAATAGCCCTTTCATCCAGTTTTGGAACGTTTGCTCAAGTGGTGAGCAATGTTTCCTGTAAGCTGTACATCCATACAGCATCTGAGAAACCCCCGTATACTGCATCATCTTCCACCATAAGATTTCTAGTCTGGTTTAAAAATACTGTGCACACAACTCAGAAGTCCGTGTAGGAACAGCAAAAATTCAAGGGAACATTGGTGATGAGCTGAAATTCTATCATGGTCCTTGAGCTCACAGTCTTCTGACTCAGAGATGAAAGTGCTGTTGATTGAAGCAAACTGACACATAAATAAGCTGATATGACAAGCAGGAAATATATTTCATGTGATGGAAGATAGAGTGAGTAATTTCTGATCCAATCAAAATGACGTAGATGATGCGTATCATCTAAAGCAAAGGGACTTAACAGAAGTGAAAAGTAGATTCGGACATTTCATTTGGTCTTATGAAGGCAGCTTGTTGAGAAATTCATAAATGGATGATTTGCCAAAATAGTCAAGAACAAAGTTTCAGAAGTGAATACAACAGGATGATCCAGCTGCCATTGTTCTCATTTGTGGTTTAATTCTTCTGTAGTGGAATACACTTTTCTTTTTAAAAATCTTCTCTCATCTGAAATATTGCTAATGACATTTCTTCCTCTAGGGTATTAATGAGGTAATCTGGTGCAGGGGACAGTCTAGATGATCTAGTATATCAGGATTTTGACTCCGAGTACACTAATACTAGCAATATGGGTTTCTCTCTCAAGACTGATCAGTTATAATGTGTTCTTTTTTGTTTCAGATTGAGTTTAAGTGATGACAGTGGAAGTGAAAGTAGTGAGAACTCCAATGTCAACACCCTGGACCAGCCTCAGAAACACATAGCTGCTAATAACAAGGTACTTCTCAAGACTTCGACTTTCTGTGCTACATTATAGATGTTTATGAACATAGCTTTGGTTAAATTGTAGCTTGTTGACAAATGCGTGCAGGTAAATTGCTAAAGCATTCAAGAGCAAAGACTCAGAAGTTCTCACATTACCCAAGTGCCAGTGTTCCCTTTCTAGTGTTTTAATCTTTTTAACCCAGGAATAAGATATTTTATGACACATGAACATACTATGTACAAGTTTATTAGTGACATAAAGGCAGTTTCACAAACACAGTAAACAAAATAATAAATAACAATGATATTAATAGGTTAAGTGAATGAGCAAAACTGTGGCTAATGGATTTTAATGTAAATAAGTGATAGGTCCATCACTTTGGAACAAAAACATTTTGGACACCAACAATTTCTAAATAATGAAAAGCTTAAAACACTGGTAGGCCAGAAAGCTTTTGGAGTCCAAATACAGATGAAAATATCATGAGCAGTTACAAGAAATAATCATAAATCTACTGGAGTGCTGGTCTCTTTAATATTTTAAAGATAATTTTCAGTTTTCAGAGGATTAAATTTGTACAAGTAAGATCATTAAAATGCTGGGCTTCAGGGATTGCTAGAACACCTTAAGAAATGGCAGTTCAAAGGTTGATCTGTGCTTATTTATTAAGGTCAGAGTAGAAAAACCAGTAAACAACAGCTATGTTTATATAGCTAGGGAACTGCAGAATTTGCATTTGAGCAGATTTGCCCTGACTTCATCAGAATTTGAATTACATTTGCTGACCTCAGGGTTAACAGCTTTGGGTTTGAGCTTAAAGTTTAATTAATGTTGATGTCCATTAGCCATCTCAGCTAGCCTCCTGCTAAAAAGATGAGTGTTCTGAAAGAGTGGGTTGAAATCCTGATAAGTTGTGGAATTTTTCCAGACGGTCTCTTCAGTTGGAGCAGCAGTCACCTACATTGGGGGTACACCCTGAGTTCAGCAGGCAGGGAAAGAGAGTGTATGATGAGAGCTGAAAGGTAGCTGTAGACTAGAAGCTAAAAGGGCTGTCAGGAATCAATGTTATTTCTCAGGTGGAGGCTCTCAGCCAGTGTGCAGTGAATCCCATGCTTGAGTTGGAGTGTCCCAATCATGAGGTACTTAAGAAGTCCAGGAAAGCTCACTTATCTGGTGGCTAATGGGAAGGTTCCAGGAAAGCTCACACCTCAGAGGGCAACAGCAGAACTGAATTCCTGAAAACTGTTGCATTTTAATTTGGTCCCAGGACCGGAAGGAATGATCAAGGGCGTAATGAGTGACCAAAGACTTTCTGAAAGGAAATCAAACTAAAAGCAGGTTCAGTTGACAATTACAATTTTAAAGTATGTGTGATCACATTTATTGCTTTTCTCAGTGTTATATATATAAATTGATAATCTAAGATACTGTTTAGATAGTAACGTTTTCTTTATTTGCCTCTCGTACAGTAAAATAATTTGCTTAAACATGGAATCTTGTTATTTTATTCTTTCAGTAGATAACAGGAATTTCAACTTTATGTTCAACAGATTCTAACAGTATTATAACACTCATATTTCAAAGTTTAGAATACAGGAGGTAGAAGTCATCGACTACATGTGGAGTATTGTAGACTGTTCTTAGGCACCATGCCATTTGAGACAGTGCAATATAGATTTACCAGGGTGAAACCTGGATTCCAAAGCTTAAATTACAAAGAGAGATCATGCAAATATAGCGTTCTATTCCCTAGAATTTAAACAGGTAAGGAGTGATTTGATCAAACTTTTCAAAACATTTAAGGGCAACAGCCAGGGTAGATTGAAAGAGTATATGTCCAGTGTTTGAGACATAGTCAAAATTAGAGCTAAACCATATCCTGTTAGATATTAGGTAAGCATTGGTCTTACTGAATGGCAGAACAGACTGGAGGGCTTAAATTTCTATGATTCTCTGTTTCTAGGTAGATTTATATTTTGAAGTAATCATTTAATCTATGGGGAAAAAGTACCACTTTTAATCAGTGCACTGAGCCCTCGTTAATATAAACCAGTAGTGTGTGCCAGTACTCTTACAAAGATAGTCAGATTGCTTCAGACAGTTTCAAGCTAAGTGAGGACCAGCCACTTTGTTTGAGAAATTGAGAACCAAAAGCTTCCTTTAATAACTCTCTCACACCCCCAAGCAGCTAAGTGGCTTTTCTGAGTGAGCTATGTATCAGGCAGGAAATGTCTTAAGCTGATTCGTTTTCTAAGTATGGAATTAATGTATTTATATAACATATCAAATTCACTGAGACTTTGAATCACATCTGCATATCCATGCTTTAACCATTAGATGGAGCTTCCCAAGCTGCCTGACAGGATGGTGGAAGCAGATAAAACGTTACCTTCCAAAGGGATCTAAAGTAGAGGGGTATAGGAAAGAATAAAGGAGTGGACTAATTGGAGAGCTCTTTCAAAGAATCATCACAGGCACATTGTGCAGACTGATTTTGGTCTGTATTGCTAGTCTGGCGTCCTGTGATAATATTATTGAAATATAAAAGCAATGCATGGTTTAAAGAGGAGACTGAATTACATTTTTGTACTGTTCTGTAATTAGCTCCCTCCCTTAAATCCATTTTAACTGAAGACTGCGCTTGGTTTTAACTCCCTATAAACAATATTATTGGGAATAACTACCATGCTAACAATCTTGTATATGGTACACGCATGAGATGGTTTCCCTATTCTACAACACCAACCATTTCAAAAGTATAATTATCCATGAGGCATTGTATTTTCCTTGATCAGGGCCAGTTAATTCTGCAGGGAACTATCCAACAGTATCTATGTTCTTCATTAGTTGTCTTTTACCGCTAGGACACTCTTTACTATGGGGTAAATCATTAATTAATTGCGTGTGAAAGGTGTTATGTCAAAGTGATGTCAGATCTCCTGGAACTGGAGCCGAAGCCCTCCAGTCTGTTCTGATGTACTGTAAGGTTGGGTTTGCATGACATTTCATCATGCGTCATAAACAGTTATGTTTAATAAAAACCTGTTAATGTTCACTCACAAGACTGTAGCCTGCACCTTTCTGCAATTGCAGCACCTGAAATATTAAAAGGAAATGAAAATGACTAATTGTCAGAACAAATTTTGAAGTGACTTTTAAAGAGCCAAGCAATCATGAAACACCTGTCAGATGCAGAGAGGGAGAACAATTGGATCTCCAATGTGCAGGCCGGATCCGTCTTCGTTATAGGGGATAGAGAAAAAGTCAGAAGGTTGAAGGCAAAGAGGAACTTGGTGAAATTGTAATCACTGGGGAAGTTATACCGAGCAAACCAATGGAGCTGCAGGTTGATAGGTCGCTAGCTCATGGTGGACATCATCCTCGGATCTTAAAAGAAGTGGCTAATAGGATAGTAGATGTATTGGTGTTAATTTTCCAAAATTTGTTTGGGAGTTTGGAAGGTTCTAGCAGACTGGAAGGTAACAAAATAAACGCTCCAAGAAGCAAGGGAGGCAAGAAACAGGAAATTTTGGATCAGTTAGTTTGATGTGTGTCATTCACTAAGAAGATTATAACTGGGCACTTGGGAAAAACTCTTGGGAAGAATCAGCATAATTTTGTGAAAGGGAAATTCTGTTTAACCAATTTATGGAATTCTTTGAAGGAGTAGCATGAATTTTAGATAAAGAGGAATTAATTGATGTACTGGACTTGGTTTTCCAGAAGGTATTTCAAAAATTTCCACATAAAAGGCTATTGCATAGAGTAGGAGATCATGCTGTAGAGGGTAACATACTATCATGGATAAAAGATTGACTGGCTGGTAGAAAACTGAGAGAATGCACAACCTGGTTCCTTATCAGAACAGCAGGATATGACGAGTGGAGTTCTGCAGAGGGTCTGTGCTGGGTACATAACTTTATACTATTTATATAAATTACTGAGATGGAAATAAAAGCATGATGGCTTAAAAAAAATGTTATTTAAATAGAGAACGACTGCAGAACTCTTAGGTGTACTTGATCTAGTGCACGAGCCACAAAACGTACACGTGCAGGTTCAGTGGTAGTTAAGAAAGCTAATGGAATGTTATCCTTTATTCAGAGAGCGTTTGAACATAAAAGTAATAAGTTTATGTTTCAATTATACAAGGTAGTGGTGAGACACACCTCAAATGCTGTGTAATTTTGGTCTACTTATTTAAGGAAGTATACAGATTGTTAGAGGTAGTTCAGAGGTAGTTTGCTGTATTGTTACCTGTAATGAGAGGGTTGTCTTATGAGGAAAGGTTAGACAGACTGGGCTTGTTTTCAGTGCAGTTTAGAAGAGTGAGGTTGATTTGATTGATGTTTCTAAGATTCTGAATGGTGATGCCAAGGTGGACGTTGAAAGGATGTTTTCTATTGCAGGTGAGTCCAGTACTGGGGTGGTGGGGGGGGGAGGTGGTCACTGTTTTAAATTAAGTGTGACCTTATTAGGTCAGAGTTGAGGGGGATTTTTTTTAAATCAGGGCAGATTGAAATATGGTACTTAAGCACAGCAGCCATGATCTTGTTGAATGGCAGAGCAGGCCTGGAGGGCAAAATGGCCTACTTGCTTAAACAGTTCTCTAACATCTGGCTGAATCTTCCATTATGATTGTTGAGATGGAAATAAAGGAATATTAGCTTAAATCCTAAAAATGATGGAGGATAAGTATCACATAATATAGGACCAAAGGACCATCGGAACAGGAGCAGGCCATTCGGCCCATCAAGCCTGCTTCGCCATTCAATAGGATTATGCCTGATCTGACATTCCTCATATCCACTTTCCTGCATTTTCCCCATAACCCTTGATTCCTCAACTGATCAAGAATCTAGCTATCTCCACCTCCAATCTACATAAGGATTCTGCCCCCCACAGCTGTGCGTGCAAGGAGTTCCAAAGACACTCAGTCATCTGAGAGAGAAAAAAAAAAATTCCTCCTTATCTCAGTCTTAAATTGGCACCCCTTTATTCTGAGACTATGCACCCTGATGTTATACTCTCCCATGAGGGGAAACATCCTCTCAGCATTTAACCTGTTAAGCCCTTTGAGAATCCTGTAAGTTGCAATGAGATTGTGTCTCATTCTTTTAAACTCCAGCGAGTAATGTCCCAACCTGTTTAGCTTTTGGTCATAAGACAGTCCCTCCATAATAAGAATCATCCTCATTAACCTTTTCTGAACTGCCTCAAGTGAAATTATATTTTTCCTTAAGGGGACCAAAACTGCTCATAGCACTCTGGATTTGGTCTCACCAGCAACTTGTTCATTTGCAGTAAGATTTCTTTACTCTTATTCATACATGGGATGTGGGTGTTGTTTATTGCTCATCCCTAGTTGCCTTTGAGAAGGTGTTGGTGTGCTGTCTTCTTGAAGTGCTGCTGTTCATGTGCTGTAGATAGACTCTCAATGCCGTCAGAAGGGGAATTCCATCTCATAATGGAATCACGTCAGCTGAGGACGAAACTGGATTGTGAAGTGATTCACATTTTTAGCATGTATATGACATGCTTTTCTTTGATATCCATTGGTCTTTCTTGCTGGCTCATTTCCATTATGAGCTTTTCTACCTTGGACTTGGAAGGTTGTGAACCTAAGCTTCACTTGATAGCCACGCTGATGGAATGCTGAACTGGTGTGAGTGGTGAGTTTCGATGAGGCTTTAAACCAAGGGCCAAATCAGACATCATTCTGACACACGCAAGTCTGCAGCACTACTGAAAGAAGTACAAGGATTTGTTTTGATTTCCGGGCGAGCAGTCTTCAACAAAACAACAAAAACCCGAATATTGACCAGCTGGCCTCATCGCTGTTAGTGAGGTGGTGATGTAGTGGTATAGTCACTGCACGAGTAATCCAGAGCCCCAGGTCCATGTTCTGGGAACATGGGTTGAATCCCAACATTTGAATTCAGTAAAAATCTGGAACAAAAAGCTAGCCTAATGTCAATTTATTGATTGTTTAAGAAAAATCCTACCTGGGTCATTAATATCCTTTAGGGGGTGAATACTCCAACCCCTTTGAAATAAGAGCCAACATTCTATTAGCCTTCCTGATTGCCTGCTGCACCTGTATGCTAGCTGTTTGTGTTTTGTGCACAAGTGCCCCCAAGTCCCTTTGTCTTGCAGCTTTCTGCAGCTTTTCCCTATTTAAATAATACTCTGTTCTTTTGTTCTCCCTTCCAAAATAAACAAGTTCTCATTTTCCTACATTATGTTCCATTTGCTGGTCTTTTGCTGCTAATTTAATCTGTCAATATCTTTCTATAAATTGTTTCTATCCCTTTGAAGTGGCAAGAAATCAACAGCGCTTACCAGTAGAGATACTCATCTTGACAGCCAATGTTAGAGGAATGGATTTAGCATAGAACTTCCCTGCTCCATTTTTCTTAATTAGCTAGGCATCCCATGAACTGAAAGTACATTGTTGTGATGGAACCACTGGATAGGGGCTGACAGAGGTCAGGCACGTCTGTGTAAAAGAGGAGGAATCAGCATAGGGCAGTCTTGTATCCCTTGAAGGCTGCTGAGGAGAAGCAGAGCTTAATAAACCAAGGTAGATCAGTTCTTAACTTGCAATTGCTTGGTACTTACAGGATTAGGTGAATCCCTACAGCGTGGGGACAGGCCAATCGGCGCAACAAGTTCACACCGCCCCTCCGAAGAGGAGCATTCCACGCAGACCCATTCCCCTACCCTTTCCCCTGTAATCCTGCTTTTCCCATGGCTAATACACCTAATTTATGCACCCCTGGACACTACAGGCAATTTAGCATGGCCAATCCACCTAACCTGCACATCTTTGGACTGTGGGAGGAAACCAGAGCACCTGGTGGAAGCCCATGCAGACTTCACACAGACAGTGGAATTGAACCCAGGTCCCTGGCGCTGTGAGGCAGCAGTGCTAACCACTGAGCCACTGTGATGCTCCCAAGCTGAAGCCATAGTCAGATCCACCATGATCTTGTTAAAAGATGGAGTAGGTCCAAGGGACTGATTGGCCTACTTCTGCTTCAACAGTCTATTTTTTTATATATCCCTTGAGCCAGTTGCCCTATTTGCTCTTAAATAGCAGTTATTATGGTGGGCTGAAATAAAATGAAATATCTTTAAATTGAGGATCCAATGAAGATTATCAGTTTTGTTTTTCTTTATTCAATCATGGGATGAGGGTGTTGCTGGCTAGGCCAGCATTTATTGCCCATCCCTAATTGCCCAGAAGGCAGTTATGAGTCAGCCACATCGCTATGGATCTGGAGCCACATGTAGGCTAGACCAGGTAAGGATGGCTGACCTTCCCTAAAGGACATTAGGGGACCAAATGAGTTTTTCCTGACAAGTGGCAATTGATTCACGGTCATCATTGGACTCTTAATTTCAGATATTTATTGAATTCAAATTCCACCATCTGCCATGGCGGGATTCGAACCCAAGTCCCCAGAATATTACCTGGGTCTCTTTAACAGTCCAGTGATGTTACCACTAGGCCGTTGCCTCCCCTTTATGTTAAAATACAAATATGTTTGAAATAAGTAATTGAATGTTGTTCTGTAAATAGGTGCCTTAGAAAAAGAATCTGTATAAAACAGCTAATTGACTACTGAATATTTATATTCATCCCTATTACAGACATCTGGCAGAAAAAGCCCTGAAAACTGTGAAAAACCTGAAAAGCTATGTAAAAAAGGATTGCAAGACAAGGTAAACAATTTTGAAGGAATTACATCAGTGCATAAATAATGAGTCATAACCTTCTTCTGTAACTTTGTGTAACATTTTTTTCCTTATCTTTTCGCCCTATTTTCCATACTTGATTGCAGATGCTTTTTACTAATATTTACTACCATCAATGTGAATTTGTTATATCCATACCAAGAATGGACACAAAGAAACAAAGACAATGCATTTTCAGAATGAATTTGACGCTTAATTAATTAGGAAGGAAGTTTATGGTTATCCATGGCTTTCTCCTGTTGTTGGAATCCAGGGGACACAATGTAAAAATGAGGGGCATGCCATTTTCCTCCAAGAAGGTCGAGGAGGTACTTTTATGCAGAGGATGGTGAATCTTTGGAATTCTCCACCCCAGAGAGCTGTGGAAGCTCAATCTTCCAAGTATTTAGAGATCAAACAATTTTTGATTATCAGTAGGCATAAAAGATTATGGGGATAGTGCGGGTAAAAATCAAGGAAGTGTTTGATCAGCCATGATTGTATTGAATGGAGGAGCAGGCTTGACTTGGTGAATGCCTGGTTCTGTTCCTATCCAAACCATGGCCTTGTTGTAGCTAGAGTTATCTCCTTTGTGCCAGCTCTACTTAATGAATCCAGTCATGTGACTGGATATCTGATCTGGCCAAAGTTATTGGAGTGACCACCTCCATAAAAATGGCCCAGGGCAAGAAAATCATGGAAAGCTGATTCCTAATTAGTTCAGATGCCTACATTCCAATATCTTTTTTGTAAGGTAGGCAGATTAGGAGTCTTGGGGACTTGGCATGCTCAAGTGACTCCCTTAAAGGGAATTAATGTTTTTTTTTTAATTGCATTTGCAAAGATATTATGTTATGAGTGTAAATAGGTTTGCGTTTTTTGTTTCGTTTTCCAATAATCCACTTCCTTAATTTTGTTTTGTGCAACTGCCATATGAGCCGTGACAATATAACTTTCTTTGAGGCTTCCACTGGTGACAATATAACTTTCTTTGAGGCTTCCAAGAGCCCTAATTATTGCAGTTGAGGATTAATTCATGAAGGGCACCAAAAACTGGTGCAGTGATACTAGAAGCATTTTTTTCTTACACATCAGTACCCCAAAATTCATCGTATTTTCCATTCCTCCACAAAACTGGACATACTCACTTGATGAGATAGACTGTTGTGGAGTTGCATCATTGCAGCACAATATAACTGGACCCCAGACAGCTGTTGCTGCCACAGCAACAGCAGAGTCTGCATGGTAAGAGTTACAATTTTTCACCAGGTATCAGAGAAGAGGATATTAGGAGGGGAACACTAGAGAGGTTTTCGGGAGAATTTTGTGGAGAAGAGGAAGGTGGAGAATCAGAAGTGTTTGTGTGCCATGAAGTTTTCCTTCTCCCACATCCTTCCAAGCTAATTGCAGGAGGGATCTTTTATAGGCTGTCTGCTCGGGCCAGTGATAATCGCTGAGAAATCAAATGGCAATGATTTTGTTTTAGGAAAATAGTATCAGTTTGATTGGAGTAGAAATTTCTGGATCTTTGATTTCATCCGAGCTGCCTCACATGTAGTGCAATGGGGATAATGCCACTATGGACGCCTGGATTCCTACAAAACAGAGTGAGCTTCTATTTCAGTGATCACGCAAATATTCTGGACCTTTGTAATCATGGTACAGATGCAACCATGCATTACTTGCATGTTTACAGAACCTGGATTATTTGAGGAAAACAGTGAGGGATGCCCCTATAAGCCAAGGCTATGTTTTCTATTCCCGTTTGCTGACTCCTCCTATGGGAATCCCTTCCACAAACACCAATGAAATAATGGAATTCATACAATGCAGAAAGAGGCCATTCAGCCCATACAGTCTACACCGACTGTCCGAAGACCTCCCATCCCACCCTGACCCAGCACACCACCCTATCTCCGTAACCCCATATTTATCATGACTAATCTACTTAGCTTGCACATCCCTGGACAGTACAGGGCAATTTACTATGCCCAATCCACCTAACTTGCACATCTTTAGACTGTGGGACTAAACTAGAGCACTCTCAGTAAACCCAACAGATACACTGGAGGATGTGCAAACTCCACACAGTCATCTCCAGGCTGGAATCGAATCTGGATCCCTGATGCTGTGGAAAGATCCTTAGCCTGGAAGTTTATTATTTGTTTACTTTTCCTTGGACACTCTGTCCTGCAACAGGAAAGCTGTATTAGCCACCATTACACA